ACTAGCACACATTTAATACCAATAGATATACTTTTTGCTTTGGTGCTTCCTCCCTTGCATATAGTAATACAAGCTTGATAGTCCTCAAACATAACTATAGGTAAAGGTTCTCTTATTCCAAAGTCCTTCAACAAATGAAAAATCAATTCAAGTTCACTGCAGGCACTTGTTGCTGAGACACACTCAGCTTCTGCTGTAGACTGTGACACAACAGTTTGCTTTCTACTAGTCCAGTCTATTAGTCCATCTCCATAGAAGAATAGATATCTGCTTGTTGACTTGAAATTGTTCGATTCTTCTCCCCAGTTGGCGTCCATATATCAGACTAGTCTTGGTCCTTCAGATGGTGCAATTTTCAATTCTAAGTCCATTGTTCCTTTCAGGTACCTTGCTAGTCTCTTTATTGCACTCCAATCATGATGGTTAGGTGAACTCACTTTTCTGCATAAGATGCCAACTGCTGCTGTGATGTCAGGCCTTGTGGTTTTGCTCAAGTAGAGAAATTTTCCAACTGCTGCTCTGTATTCTCCAGTATCTCTGAGAGGTGTTCCATCCTTTTCCTTTAGATATACAGTTTCAAGTGGTATGGATGACGCTTTGCAGTTTTTCATACCAACAGATTCTATAAAGTCCATAATTTTTTTTCTGGCATAGAAGGTTCCATCCTCGAGTCTTTCAACTTGTATTCTGAGGTAGTGTTTTACATCTCCAAGCTGCTTTCTACTTCCTTGTTCATAGCATCAGCTATTTCTTTACTATCCTCTCTGTTTTGACAAGATACAATCAAGTCATCAACATAAACAAGAATGGTATTGTCCATTTTTAATTCTAGTGTACAGGCAAGATTCAGCTTTCCCTTGCCCAAAGCCTTGCTTCTGCAATCATCCTGTAATTTTGTCATACCAGGCCTTTGCTCCTTGTTTTAGTCCTTTGTTGTGTCTGTAAACATAATTTTCTTGTCCTTCGACTTTGAAACCCTCAGGTTGTTCCATAAATATTTCCTCAGATAGTTTTCCATTGAAGAATGAGTCTTTATATTCAGATGCTCTACAATCATATCTCTTGATGCTGTGACACTAAGAAGTGTTCTGAACACTGCTAGATTGATAACTGGAGCAAAAGTCTCAAAGTAGTCAGTCCCATATTCTTGTGAATAGCCTTTGGCTACTAGGTGTGCTTTGTATAGTTCTACAGTCCCATCATCGTTATACTTGATTTGGAATACCCATTTGCACCCAACAGGCTTTCTTCCTGGAAGTAACTTTGTAAGAGTCCAGGCTTCTTTCTCATATATGGATGGTATTTCCTGTTCCATTGTTTCAATCCATCTGTCTCTTTCACTCACAGGTAAGTTGCATACTTCTTTCCAGTTCTTTGGTTCTTTTGCAGATTGTACAGTTTCACAAAATCCATATTTATGTGGTGGTTGCCCTTTAGTGCTTCTTTCTGATCATCTCACACTGGTTGTGGGTTCAGTCGTGGGTTCTTCTGCCTCCTCTGGTGTGGTTCCCGCTTCCCTTCTGTTCTTGTAGTTTCTTCAGAAGGTAGACTCTGCCGGTTCCCTGGTGGTCACCACAGGTAACCATACAACCAACTCTTCAGAAGCAGCCTCAGAACTCTTTGGATCAGTTGCATTGGGAGCACATGGCAAATTGCTTTCATCTACATATACAACATTTTGTTCCCCATGTGATTTTGGGGGTTGTATATCCTGTATCCTTTTCCACCAACAGGATACCCTACTACAGGTCCAATTTCAGCTCTGGGGTCAAGTTTCCCCTTTTTCTCCTTTGGTATGTGAGCATACTCTTAGCTTGAATGTGCTTTAGTCCAGGCCACTTTCCAAACCAAGCCTCGAAAGGAGTGGTTCCAGTAACCTTTAAGGGTACTCTATTGTGTAAATGAAGTGTACGTGCAGAGGACCTAAAGAGCCTCTTGTTCAGAGTGAAAGAGGAGAGCACAAAAGTGGGCTTGAAGCTCAACATCAAAAAAAACTAAGATCATGGCATCTGGCCCCATCACTCCTTGGCAAATAGAAGGGGAAGTCGTGGAAGTAGTGACAGACTTCACGTTCCTGGGATCCCAGATCACCACAGACTGTGACAGCAGCCATGAAATTAAAAGACGCCTGCTCCTTGGGAGGAAAGCGATGGCGAACCTAAACAGCATGATAAAAAGTAGAGACATCACCCTGCCAACAAAAGTCCGCATGGTCAAAGCAATGGTATTCCCAGTAGTCATGTATGGCTGCGAGAGTTGGACGATAAGGAAGGCCGAGCGCCGAAGAATAGATGCTTTTGAACTATGGTGCTGGAGGAGACTCTTGAGAGTCCCTTGGACTGCAAGAAGAACAAATCAGTCAATCCTCAAAGAAATCAACCCTGACTGTTCCCTGGAAGGCCAGATAATGAAACTGAAGCTCAAATACTTTGGCCACCAAATGAGAAGGGAGCACTCACTGGGATGCAACGAACATGAAATTGAGCAAACTTCAGAGGACGGCGGAAGACCGGAAGGCCTGGCGTGATCTGGTCCATGAGATCGTGAAGAGTTGGACTCGACTGTGCAACTGAACAATTGTGTAAATACCGTAGGGTATTTGGTAGACCAGAATGTATTAGCAGAGCCCTACTCATGTCCTGGATTCTTCTGTTCAGCTTTTCAGAAGAGCCATTGTGTTGAGGTGAGTGCGGGATAGACACTTTGTGTTCAATCCCTTCAAGTTCTAGAAATCTTTTAAATTCTGCATTGCAATACTCTCCACCCCCTTTGGTGCATAAGCTTTGGGGCGCTCGGCCAAACTTGTTTTTAATTGTGGTCACATAGCATTTGAATTTATTGAGTGTCCTTGCTCTTTATCATAAACACAAAAATATATTTTGTTTTGTTTTCAGTAAAAGTCACAAAGTATTTGTTCCCACCACATGATGGCACTAATGGGCCAACACGGTCACTATACACAGTCTCTAGGAACTTCTCATTGTAATTAGTGGACTTGCCAGTGTACTTTGGAGCAGTTCCCTTTGCTTTGAAACATGTGTCACTTCTCTCCTTTGCCTTGTCACAACTTACAGCAGAAATTCCACATTCTTTTAACAACTTTTTAACAATCTGCATCCCATGATGCACAAACTTCAAAAGCCTTGCATACAAGCAATTCTGATGACTACAAGAGCCATTGCCAGTTTGATAAACTAGACTTGGGGTCAGCTAATCCATGGAAACCAGTATTTAACACAGTCCTGGAACCTAAAGGGCAGTGACATAGATCCCAGATCAGCCTCAAGCAGGAGGGCATTCTGAAAGCATCGTGCCACCACTGAAAAAGCTTTGTCTCTCATTGGCACCAACACAGCTCTTCAGGTAGGTCACAGAAGTCAGGGTCGGGGAAGAAGATCTTAACTGGTGAGTGGACAGTACTCTTACGTAGCTTTCAGTGGCATAGAAGCCCTGTTAAAGTGTAAAGGTTGATAATGCCATCCTCTCAAATTCCTTACAAAATTCAGTCCACCTGTGGCCACTAAAAGGTTTGACTCTTTCAATTGTTTGCTGGGGTAGTGTATGGTTAGCTTATAGTGACTTTCCCCATCTGCTTTTGCTCATGGAAGGGACACATAGGTCCCTGCCACACGGCAGGAAAAGCGACGGGCGAAGTGCGGCTAATCTTTTTTTTTTTTGGTAATCGAAGTGCGGCTAATCTGAGCCGCACCAAAGTTGAGACGACTCGGTGGGATCCCACGGATCCCCCGAGCCGCGGCGCCGTCGCTACCCAGCACGATCAGATGCTGGGGAGAAAGCGACGGTGGGAAGGGGAGGCTGGCGAATTGCGCAAGCTCACACATGCACAGTTCGGCTAGGAGCAGGGGATACGCCAGCGCAAGGATGCGCCGGCGATCCCACAGCTGCACTTGCCGCGGCCCGTCAGCATGAACCACCCAGGTAGGTGGTTCTTTTTGGTGCGGGGTTTCAGGCAGGAGGGACGGAATGGGGACGGCTGGGCAACGATTCCCAGATGTTGCCATGGGATCGCGCCCATTTGCCGCGCATCCGTTCCGTCCCACTCTCGACCTATTTCCTCGCGTGTGATCGGGGCCATAATGTGAAAAGGAGCTCCACAGATTCACTACCACACCCCAGTGTGCTAAACATCTGCATTCCCCCCCTTTAGTCACTAAAGCCAAGGTACTCTATTGGATTTCGCTCCATGCTAATTTACAGAGGATCATTAAAACTTCCTGACAATGCCTTCTGGACTGGTCACATAGGTGTTCCTGGCCAATCAGGAATGTCAGAAGAAACAAAGTTTATTCAAGGCAATAGGTGAACACATTCATTGTTTTTGGAGTAATGTTGCCCTAAATGCTGCTGCGGTGGGTGTGTACCAGGGTTGCCAGATCCAGGTTGGGAAACTCCTGGAGATTTGGAGGGAGAGCCTGGGAAGGACAGGGACCTCAGTGGGGTACAATGTCATAGAGTCCACCCTCCAAAGCATCCATTTTCTCCAAGGAGAATGATCTCTGAAGTCTGGAGATGAGATGTAATTCTGGGGGATCCCCAGGTCCCACCTGGAAGCTGGCATCCCTAGTGGGTATGTATGTATGTCCTTTAGTGCTGACAAATGTTCAGGACAACTGTCTTCCATTTGGCTCAACCCCACTTGCGATCCAGCTACTGAATGATGCTCTGCAGCTCTTGAAGCCTAAGCAGATGTTGTATTTGCAAGGGGATGGCAACAAAAATGGGTGTCCTCTGTTATATTTAGCAGGTTTGATTTTATGGTGGGCAGCCATCATGATGTGTAAATCCCAATTCCATCTCTCCGGCAATCATTAGCAATTGCAGAAGCATTAACACTGCAGTGGATGCCTTCAACAAATGCTACATGGCAGACATTACAGAGGGTAAAAGGAGAACTGAAGAATTCTCGGGGGGGGGGGTGTATCCATTTTGGTAGCCTTTCTCTGGCTATTGTAATACCTGCTCCTGCTCTGAACTCAGTACTTCACAGCAAAATCACATAGTACAGTTTTTGTACAGGTGGGAGATGGCAATTTGGCTTGCCTCTCTACACATAAAATACTAGTACATCACAAAGAAGGTAGCTCAGTTTAACTGAATGATCCCAGTATTAAGAAAGAGGATAAGAATCTCACAAGTTTGTCCCCACAATTTACTATTTCATATATACCTACCAGGTTCCCCGAGCATCTTTCCCCTTAAACTGAAAAGCCCCCCCCCCCAGTTTAAGCTTAAAGGAAGATGCTGCATTCCCACTGGCCATGGTAGTTGCCCTTTTCTGTAATTCTCTCTTCTTGGAAAGAATCAGTCACATCACAACTCTCATTGCCCTATGAGAGCAGCAATATGTTCTGTTGGAGATGCCATTCATGTAAACCCCTGCGATGCAAAGTGAGCCCATGCAGCAACTAGCCTCAGCAGCACGCAGCTGCTCCCATGCTGTTCTGCTGTTGAACACAGTGCAATGATTGCCAATTTGAAAACACAACTGGGTCTTATCCTGTCAGTCCCACAGCATGGACTGATATAACATATTTTTCTTTTATTTCTTTTCAAGCATCCCTCGGTCAAAGATTCATGCAGTTTGTATCGGAGAAAGCTGAAATCCTAAACCAGTGTCTGTTTGAGAGCTCTGAGGATGGCAAAGCTATTTCTAGTGTTCCCTGAAGCTGAAACAGAGATAAGTCATTATTTAGATGAAGCTCAAACAAAAACTTTTGGTTATACCTTTTATCAGAACAGAACTCTTTCTGTTAAGTAAGAGAGTGGTTCTGGATCATAACTTTGACAGGACTTTCTACCCTCTTAATCCCAGTATTTAGCAGTTGCTATAATGACCAAAAATACTTTGCACATGGTCAGAATATTCCCTAGGGCTATTCCAAATATTGAGAGCCAGGGTGGTGAAGTAAGTTAGAACATTATACTTTGTGTAAATTGGGTTCAGATTCCCACTCAGCCACTCTGTGACCTTGGGCCTGTCACTATCTTATATCTACCCCCAGGGTTCCAACAAGGGGGAGGACTGATATATTGGATCAGGCAAAATAGTGAGTTAGGAGTGAATCATGGCTGGGAGAGGCCACTGTACATCCTGCAGTAACATCACAGACAGAATAAAAATGAGTGTGTGCAGAACCAAGGGGGAAAGAGACAGAACCACATCCAGCATTTTGTGAAGATCGGTGAGCTTCCGTGAGAGGGGGGAGGCAGGAAAATTCCATTCTGCCATTGGAAAACTGAGACTGGATCCATTAAATATATAACTTTCTTTTCTAAAGAAGGCAGTTTCCTGGC